GGGCGGCCGCGCTGCATGGGGGCGGGGGCCGGCCGCCATGGAGGGGGTGCTGTACAAGTGGACCAACTACCTGAGTGGTGAGTTGCGACCGGTTCTCAGCCTCTGCGCCGGGCGGGCTTCCCTGGCGGGACGGGTGCCGTCATCTTCTTTTATGTGTGTGTGTATGTATATTTTTTTATATAAGTCTATATATGTGTATTTGCTGAGTCGGGATCAGCGCTGCCCCCCTGACCCAGCTGTGCACCCTGGTTTTCCAGCTGCGCTGCCACATTGTCACCCTCCGGCGCTGGAGGAGGCGGTGTCTCACCCACTCGTGGGTGCCAGCGCTCTTCTGGAGCGTCCCTTGCCCTCCCTGGGGCTGTGGGTTTGGAGTTCGGGGTTATTTTGGATGCGTTGGGTCGTACTCGCTGCCGGATTTCCCTGTTCTGTGCGCCCCCGTGAAACTTTTATTGCTTTTGTTGAGTCGCTTCAGGGAGTTGGGGGAATCCCAGACCTGGGAGGAAAAGGTCCAGTCGCACTTGGGGGATTTGGGTGAAAATGCATTAAAAACAAAAAAAGGAAAAAAAGGAAGAAAGAAAAAAATAAAATAAAGGGACTGTCCGGCTAGTGCTAGGCCCAGATTTTAATTTTTTGGGTATTCCCGTGCAGTGGGACGCTTGACTTTCCGTAGCAGACTGGAAGCAGCCATGTGTGGCTGGGGTTTCCTCAGCTGAGGTTAAAGGTGGTGGGGTCAGAAACGCTGCGGAGGGGGTGAGGGTCCGGTGCCACCCGTGTTCTGTGGGGTGTCCGCCGCCAGAGACGTTGGAGTCGGGAGTAGCTTGTGATTTGGGGTGGGTGGATGGCGTCTTGCCTGGTGCAGACCTCTCTGTGGTTTGTTGAAACAGTTTGGAAACCTCGTGGTCAGAGAAGAATAACCACGACCTTGACATTGCCAGGTGCAAGTTTTGCTCGGTGGTGTATGTAAGAGGGCTGCCTTCTTGCCTGAATTTTTTTTCCAGAGAGGCTGGAACAGCTGCACCTCCCTGCTTAGTTGGGAAAGTGTAGGAAGTCAAAATTAAACAAAGAAAAAGCTGAAGCGCAAGCAAGTGATGAATTTATGTGGCAGAGGGGTGGTGGTGGGGGAGTGGTGTATGAGGCTGGATTTATTGGTGTGCTGGAAGATTGCTGCGGCTTTTCCCCTTTAGGCAATAGGTGTTCTGAGGGGGGAATCAAAAATGGTCAGGTTTCAGTGAATAGGCATGGATTTATTTTATTTTTTTATTGTTATTGTTATTTGTGAGTGCTGTTGAATTATGGAGTGTGTGGCAGTAGGAGCAGCCATGCTTAGCTTTGCCATTTGGATTGCAGAACTCGGGCAGCGCTATTAATCCTTTCCCCATAATAAAAACGTCCATGGTTCAGTCAATCTAAAGTTTTATGTGTTTGTTTTTCTTTGCATCGCTTAGATGCTGGGGTGTATGTGGAACCCTTGTGCTTGCTTCCGTGCTGTGAGATCCGGGGAGTGAGCATCTGTGGGAACCAGTGTGTGTGTGTAGATGAGTGACTGGCATTTGGCATTCTAGTATTTGTGCCTGAGTGTGCATGTGGTAGGATCAGCTGGACTTGTCTTCTGTTTTGATGGTAAGATGAAGACTAAGAACCTGAAATATTACAGTTTCATCAAAATTTTTTTTTTTTTTTTTGGCTAGCCACGTTTATATGCATTTTCAACCAAATGACCCTTCATGGGGAAGGATGATGCTTTGCAAACCTTGGTCTAAGTGAATGCAGGCTGAAGGAATCGCTCTTCCTTGAATGCTTGAAATCTGCCCTAGCTGAAAACTGTATGAATTGCTTTTCTCAACAGAGAGAAAATCTGTGATGGAGGGTTGAAGCATCTTTCTGATTTCTTTGCTGAAACTTGACTCTGCTACTAAGTATGGTGGTCAAGGTCACTCCATGCCTCTTCTTAGGCTGTAGAAGGCCTGTCTGGTGTGTGTTTGGGAACAGTAAATTTGCTGTTCTGCAAGCTAACTAGGCTTACGTGTGCATAAAATGAAGACTTCCTGCCCTGAAGCCATTAAGTTATAAGTTTATGCGATGATGCAAAAAAAATATTGTGCTGGAATGTGGCATTTATCGTAGCAGTAGCAGGGAGCTAGGGAGTGAGGGACAAGAAAGCCTCCTTTGGGGGATTAAGGGAAGCAAGAGGGTTCAACAGGTCATCCAGAACAGTATTTCTGACAGTGTTCTGCTTTTCCCCTTGCTCAAGGTTAATTACATTGGTGCTGTGTGGTGTAAACTATTGCATGCAAAAAGTTGGGGAAAAGGTGTGTCATCTTTTGCGTGTCAGTGTATGCCTGTGTTACTAATACAATGCTGATGTAAACATACACAGCAGGTATCTTACGCCCTTTCCTCCTCGTAGTGAGGAACACACCTTTGTTTCGTACAGCCGGAAAGGAGATAAGACATTCACCAAAGAACAACCTTAGAACTGTAGAAAAGGAGAACTGCTTTCCCTTCTTGCTGTGAGAGAGGAGCTGATGGAGTTTGTTGGTAATTGAGTCTTTTCTGGTAATTTTGGTCTTATAACGTCTTCTGTCATCACCGTCGTGAGAGGTCAAGTCCACATCAAGCTGTATCCCCCCGGCCCTTGGGCAGGGAGCTAGGTCTGTGTTGCAAATTACAGAGTTATTGACAGCAAGAACATTTCAGAAGTAGGAAACAAGTTTGGCTTTCTGCAGGCAAAGGTCAGAAAGCACAGCACGATTGCCAGCAACTGAAAGACAAATTAGCTTGCCTTACTGCTCAAACAAGTTATCTTGTTTTAGAATAAATGCACTTGTTTGCTTTACATAGATTACGATAATTAAATCAGCATTACTTGGTTTCTGCTTGGAGATAGGGTTTTTCCTCTGGTATTAATCCTGTGCTGATGTTATGGTTTCTACATGCAGGGGTTCCAGTGCTGCCTTTGAAATCTCTGAGTTTTGAGAACTGAGATTTTAAGAGTTTTTCTCTCCCCTAATGCAATGGCCACCAGATAGTGATTTCTCGATGTGATAGTTTTGTTAAGTTCAAGGGAAGTGTGGCAACTTTGGATCAGATATGCATGCACACAGATCTGTGAAAATCCACTTGGGATCTTGTGTTTGCAGTATGTGTGTCCTGAAATTGCTGTTGTCTGTGCTTCCCGTACTAAATTGGTTAAAACCTTAAGGGAACAGGGAATTTTGCAAGGAGAATTATCGCTGATGTATAAAGCATGATAGCGCTCTTTCACTTGGGCAAATATATGATGCCTCTGCAAACTTCAAATTATTAATCCTCAAAACCCAGAGCTGGGTGACTTAAATCGTGCAGGCGTGTAAATTGGCCTCAGCTGAGTCTACAGCCTAAGAGTGTAACCTGATCTTAAAAAATTCCTAGATTTCATCATTTGCCAAAACTTTCTATCTAGTGTTAGCATTGCTTGGTAAAGGTTGTGGAGGGTAGGGGTGGGCTTGTAGCATGGCTAAAGGGAGCGTAACTCGTATTTCAATACTGCTTATTGTAGTAAGCAGTTGGGGTGATAAAAGCATCACCCTATACCTTCCCTATAGGTTGTCGGTCTGTTGTGCTGCTGCTGCCTGTGGTCCTGGCTGAGCATGAAGCATTCTGGCATGGACGGCATCCAAGCCGAATCCTGGCTGCAGTGCTGTGGCGGGACTGTGCTCAAACCCGGGGGGATGCTGCTTGCAGGGTAGAGAAAGGAGGGAGCGGAGGTGAACTGTGCCTGAAGGCTGCTCTGTGCTGTTTGGAAACTGTCTCCCACAGGACTCTCCAACTGAACTCAAGCTGCAATTCACGCTCCTTGTTTAAGCATACCTTCTGATTAATAACAAAAATTTCTTTAGTCTTTGGAGATTACCTTGTAAAAATAATCTGCGCTTTTGATTTCTCATTAGGCTTGTAGAATGAGTCAGATACCGTTTACCCATAAGGAAACAGAGCGTGGAGTTGGGGAATACCTTTCTTCAGTGGGGTGTGTGTGTAAAAGCTCAGCACTTTCAGTTGGTTTTTCTGCTGAAATTCAATTCAGTTCAGATCTTCATTGTAAAGCATGTCTTATCTGGGATCACTGGCCACAGGCAGGATTGCTGCTGACTCTGGAAGAGGTGGTATGTATCAGCTCTTGGCTTAGGGATTAAAGGCAGCTTCGTCATTAGAAAGAAAAATGCTGACTGCCTCCACTGACTTGCCTGGTATTCTCTGTATGCTCCGTGCAATGGCTTTGATCGCTTTTCTTCACAAAGCTAAGCTTTTCC